GCCTCGCTCAATGATCTGGAATCAACCACCTGCCTCGGAATATCCTGGGGTACGCGTATTTGCGCAGCGCATCAGAACTGCCATCATGGCGGCGCATGACGCTATCCTGGAAGCCCGCGTAAAGCAGACGCGTGCCGCCAATCGGCACAGGAGACCAGTCCCGTTCACGGAGGGCGACATGGTCTACGTATCCACGAAGAATATATCGTTTCCGAAGGGACGCGCGCGAAAGTTAATACCCAAATATATCGGCCCGTACATTATCGAGAAGGACTTTGGCAACAATTCGTACCGCATACAACTACCCGCGCGCCTGACCCAGCGTGGAGTACACCCGGTGTTTCACGCAAGTTTAATGCGCGTTCACGTTCCTAACGATGACCGTTTATTCCCAGGACGCTCGGAAACGCAGGTCGCAGACTTTGGCGAAGATGGTGGCGAATGGGCTATAGAACGGATCCTGTCCCATAAGGGTAAGGGACGTTCGGCCATCTTTGAGGTCAAATGGAAAGCCGGTGATGTCACTTGGCTACCTCTCGATCAGGTTGACGGTTTAGAACAGCTGAAGCTATACCTTGACGCCGAGGGTGTCAACAGCGTATCGGAGCTATCGGAAGGGACTGGTAGGCCGCCGATGGACGATCCACAGACATATGCCGGTGGAGTATCGTATCAAACGGTGACACACCCACCGTATGCGAACCCCAGACGGTTTCGGCATAAAAACCCCTCAAGACGACACTCCAAAGCTTCAAGATCCCCCAAACCAGACATCGACGTTATCCACTACATACACCAACTGCTCACCGACTTCGCTACCCACTACAACTCGGCTCCGATGCCTGACGACAACCCCGAAGGCGACGAGTTCATTCCGCTCCCCCGCGACGAGTCTCCGATGGCCGAAGACGCGCCGGACAAGATCACCGTGCCCAGCGCTACGAGCGCCAAGTCAGCCGTGTCGGACGACAATCACGGCTCGGGCAATCGTATCTCGAAGACGGCAACACCCGTTCACGATCCCTCAACCCGCGGTGATGAAGGAGACGATGAAGACGAGAGCACGCACGACGTTCAGCTCCACCCTGAAGTCCCCACCATGCTCGCCCGCTATAGCCCTCGCGACGACGCCTTCGTATTTCAGAAGTTCCACGAAGATGGGTCCAAGACGTGGCCCGCGTTCATCTCCATCCAACGCAAGGTTATTCGCGACTTCATCGAATTCGACGAGTCACTGCGCTCCGGCGCGGCGTGGTCGTACAATCACGTTCCGGCTGGGTATGAAGACCTCGCGAAGTCGTTCAACCACTATGTTCCACCTCGTATCGCCGCTTTCACGCTAGCGCAGCCTCATCGAGTTGGTGCAGGACTAAGCCCTCACGTCACGGGTCCGTCGCCGCGTACTATCATGGTCACGCCCGAGGTTCGGCGCGCCTCCGCGATACACAAGAAGGCACGCGCTCGCGACACCATACGCAACACACCCTCTACGTCCCGCGATTCGCGCGGATCTCGTTCCACGTCAGCTCCTCCGTCGAAGCCGTCCACCCCATACTCTCGCCCGTCTAGCCGTTCGACCTCGGATGCGGGATACTTCGACGACGAGCAGTACACTCAGCGCGTCGCTCAACGTGCTCTGGCCAGTTTGGCCGATGATGCAATGCGGCGCGACTATCTGCGGCGCGAGGCTATTAAGGAGCGTAAGGAGAAGAGACGCGCTCGGGAAGACCGCGACGCTTAGGTCGCATACGATGCCCGATTGGTTGGAACGGTGCCCGTCCCAGGAGGGCGGATGTAACGGAGCGGGTCTCGGCTTCGTCCCGTCCCGGGGCGCGACTGCCTAATCGGGTATCAGGGCGCCGTTACCCTCTGCCTCGGGCTAAGGGCATGGGCGCAGGGTTGGACAATTCTATCGTACATAAGGACTGCTCAGTCGACCTCTGCCTGTATCTTACTTGCGAGCATCGAACTACAGCTTACCCCTGTCTTTCTTTGAGCCCGAGTAACCGTGTGAACGCACCTCGCTGACTAAGACAGCTTGCCCGCGTCACA